GGACGACTAGCGTCCGTCAACCAGCGCAAGGCCGCCGCCGCTCTTAATAAATAGTTAGCTAAAATTAGGGTTTAGACTCGGGTTTTGTTTAGAGAAGTTTAGCCATTGCTACTTTTATTTGTCTTCGCTCATAGCGACTAGTGCGACCGTCAAGACATTCTATCGGAACCTCAACTTGTGAGATTTATTCATCTAGCATATCCGCAATTTTGAGATTGCTTGGCTATTATTTTTTGCATGTTTTTCGATTTGCTTGCAGGAAAAATCCTTCGTTGATAGGTCGATCGCGTCGTTGGCTCGGTCGATAACACCGTGGCGTTGGTTCAACGATTGCCGTGGATATCAGTCGTGTACGGTTCTCCCTGTATGGTTGGTAGCCGGATCATGAGGGTCAAGTCCCATAAAAATCGTAGTTATCTCCCTCTCATCGAAAGATTGGGTCCCTAGTTCACATCACTGAGCCATCCACAAAGTGCCACGGGTAGTCCCAGAAATCGTACTACGACAAGTCAACAACACATATGATACTTATCGTTCAACTTTTATGCTTCGAGTACCCCCAATGTCACCTCAGGTATCTACAAGTTAATTACTAGACATGCATCATGTAATATCAAATCCAAAGTATTCAATCCAACATAAATAAACTTCAAAGAGCAAGACTCAATTGACCACAAAAAGGATAGAGGGAGATGGAGTTCATAAGATCCAACTATATTAATAAAGCTCATGATACATCAAGATCGAATCCATCAAAAACTAGTCATGCATCACCATGAGAATGGGGGAGAAGTTGTTGGTGATGGTCGCCATGAAGATGTCCCCGGCGGCGCCCCGACGCCACCGGAGAAGAGAGGGAAGGTGCCCCCTCCTTCTTCCTTGGCCCTCTCGGGAGAGAGGGAGCTCTCCCCTAGATTGGATATCTCTTTTGTCCTTTATTTTTGTCTACCATTTCTGAGGCCGAGCACCGTTTCTTAAATAGCCGAAGATCCGTAACTCTGATAGGGTGAAATTTGTACATGATCTACCCCTAATATTAGCTTTCTTGTGGTCAAAGAAGAGCTCCAACCGACCTATAGTCTCTCCACAAGGACACATGGTGCGACTTGAGGGTGGCCGCGCCACCTATTCTCGTGGGGCCCTCAGGCACCGCCTTGTGTTGATTCTTCTGCCAAAAATCAGATATGTTCTAGAAAAATCCACAAAAATAAATTAGTTCATTCCGTCTCCATGAATTTTTCACCTAAAAACCCCTAAAACAATAGAAAATAGTAACTGGCCATTGGCACAGGATTAATAGGTTAGTACAAATAAATATTGTGCCAAAAACATAGATAAATGATGTAAATATAGCATGAAAACTTCATAAATTATAGATACATTGAAGACGTATCACACTCTTATGGATATGAAACCTCATAGAACATTGTTGAACGCGCCATATCATAACCCAAGTGTGGTGTTAAATTGGAAAGGGTCGGGCAGTCACCCCCTTGGTGGAACCTCGTATCTTAATCTGGATACAGTGATAAGTGAGCAACAATCAACTCATTGCATCCTTAGTGATGAGCTACATTGACACCCGTGTGTAGTGAAAAAATGAGCAAGGGTCTTGGCATTTGACTCGATGAGTGCGAAGAGTGAGGAAGCTAGTCGGTCCAAGTAGAATCTGCTTAGATAGCTGGAATATAGGATCCCTGACGGGTAAGTACATGAGTTAGTTGATACAGTGGTGAGGAGGCATGTTGATATCGTATGCATCCAAGAGACCAAATGGAGCGGACAAAAGGCAAAGGAGGTGGAGGATATTGACTTTAAGTTGTGGTATATGGGGGCAACTACAAACAGTAATAGAGTAGGCATCTTGATAAAAAAGAACCTCAAGTATGGGGTCATAGATGTCAAGAGGCAAGGGTACCAAATTATCCTAGTCAAGTTGATCATTGGTGGACTTAGTTCCCAATGTTATCAGTGTGTATGCCCCAAAAGTAGGCCACAATGAGAGCACCAAAAGGGGTTTAGGGAAAGACTGGAGGACTTGGCTAGGAGTGTACCTATTGGTGAGAAGCTCTTCATAGGAGGGATCTCAATGACCACGTGTGTACATCTAACACTGGTTTTGAAGGGGTGCATTGGGGATTTGGATATGGTCATAGGAATCAATAAGGAGATGACGTCTTAAGCTTCGCTTTAGCCTATGACATGATTTTAGGTAGAATCCGACCTAGTGACTTAACAGTGGTCAACACTCTAGCAGGTTGATTTTGTTCTCTCTAGAAGGGAAGACATGCATGCTTGACTATATTGTAAGGTGATACATGGAGAGAGTGTTATCCCTCAACATAATCTTGTGGTGCCTGACTTCCGCTATCGGATTCGTGTCCAGTGGGATAAGCGTGCCAAACTTGTTAGAACGAAGTGGTGGAATCTCAAGGGAGGGGGGACAACTCAGGCTTTCAAGGAGAAGGTTATTAAGGAGGGATCTTGGGAGGAGGGCAGCGATGCAAACAATATATTGATAGAGATGACGACTTTCATTCAGAAGGTGGCTCCAGAGGGGTTTAGGGTGACCATGGGAAGCAAAGCTAAAGATACTTGGGGTGGAATGATGATGTCTAGAAGGCTATTAAGAAGAACAATTGTTTCAAATGCCTTCATCTCGATAGGAGTGCAACCAACATAGATAAGTACAAGGTGGCAAAGAAGGCCGCAAAGTGAGTTGTGAGTTAAGTAAGGGGTCGGGCGTATGAGGACCTCTACCAACGTTTAAACACGAAGGAAGTCGAAAGGGACATATATAAGGTGGTCAAGATCCAGGAGAGGAAGACGAGGGATGTCAACAAAGTCAAATGCATCAAGGATGGAGCAGATCAACTTCTGGTGAAGGACAAGGAGATCAAGCATAGATGGCGAGAGTACTTCCACAAACTGTTTAATAGAGAGAATGAGAGCTATACGATTGAGCTAGAAGACTCCTTTGATGATACCAACCGACACTTTGTGCGACATATTTAGTAGTCTAAGGTCAGGGAGGCATTAAAAAGGATGAAAGGAGGCAAGGCGATGGGCCATGATGATATCCCCATTGAGGTGTGGAGAGACATTGGAGACATAGTGATAGTATGGATAACTAAGCTTTTCAACCTCATCTTTCAGTCAAACAAGATGCCCGAAGAATGGAGGCGGAGTATATTAGTATCAATCTTCAAGAAAAAGGGGGGTGTTCAAAGTTGTACTAATTACCATGGAATTAAGCTGGTAAGCGATACAATGAAGCTATGTGATAGAGTCATTGAGGGCCGCTCAATAAGAAGTTTCATGCCTGGGAGGACGACCATGGAAGCTATTTTCTTGGTATGACAACTAATGGAGAGACACAAGGAGCAAAAGAAAGACTTGCATATGGTGTTTATTGACTTGAAGAAAGCCAATGATAAAATAGCACGAAATATATGTGGTGGGCCTTGGAGAAACACAAAGTCCCAACAAAGTAGATTGTCCCTCGTCAAGGATATGTATGATAAAGTTGTGGAAGTGTTCAAATAAGTGATGGCGACACCGAAAATTTTCCAATTAAAATAAGACTACACCATAGGTCAGCTTTGAGTCCTTATCTTTTCTTACTTGGTGATGAATGAGGTCATAAGGGATAGACAAGAAGATATTCCATGGTGCATGCTCTTTACGGATGATGTGGTGCTAGTCGATGATGGCCGAACGGGGGTTAATAGAAAGTTAGAGATGTGGAGGCGGACTTCGTAATCAAAAAGTTTTAGACTTGGTAGAACTAAAACTAAGTACATGAGATGTGGTTTTAGTACTACTAGGCACAATGAGGAGGTTAGCCTGGATGGGCAGGTGGTACCTTAGAAGGACATCTTTCAATATTTGGGGTCAATCCTGGAGAAGGATGCTGACATCGATGAAGATGTGATCCATCGAATCAAAACTGGATGAGTGAAGTGGCACTAGCTTGCGTCCTGCGTGACAAGTGTCACAAAAGCTAAAAGAGGCGTGTTCTATAGGACAACAGTCCGACCTGTGTTGTTGTATGTCGCGGAATGTTGGCCAACCAAGAGGCGACATACCAACAGTTAGGTGTAGCAGAGATGCACATGTTAAGACGATATGTGGCTAACATGAAAGGATTAGGTCAAATGATAATATACATTAGAGAGTTGGGGTGGCACCGATCAAAGTGAAGGTTGTCCAACATCATCTAAGATGTTTTGAGCATATACAACTCAGACCTCCAAAAGCTCTCGTGCATAGTGGATGAATGAAACGTGCTCATAATATCAAAGAGGAGCAGGGTAGACCAAACTTTGACATGAAAGAAGCACTGATAATGTAAAAAAGGGTCAGGGTAGACCAATCTTTAGCATGGAAGAAGTCCGTTAAAAGAGATCCGTAGGACAAAAATATTACCAAAGAACTAATCATGGACAGAGGTGTGTGTAAATTAGCTATCCACGTACCAAATCCATGACTTAGGTTCAGTATCTTATCTTATCGGTTTCAATTCTAGCCTAGACCAACATGTTTGGGATTGAAAGGCCTTGTTTTTGTCTTTGTTGTTGCTGTTGTGTCTTCTTGTCCTCCCAACTATCATTTTCCTTGATAATTATCAAATACTAGTATAAGATACCTTTTGCCGTCTTTTCTAAAAGAAAATCATTTACAGAATGTGACAGAAATTTCTTGGAAATTAGGCTTCTTTCCTGCAAATTATGTTCCTAATGCCATTTGCCTGGCAACACTGGGATTTAAATATGCACATTTGACGTGCAAAAATACTCTTTTATTAGATGTACTTGCAAAAACCAACTTACAGAAGAAAGTAGGTCCAAAACACTTGAGGAACAACATGCACGAGCAAAAGGCCACAAGATATACACAATCATCTCAACAACGCCAAAGAGAACTTCTCATCCGTGCAGCAGCGAAAAAAAAGGAACCAAGAACAGTTGCTAATGGTACACCATTTCTACAAGGAAAGACTACTTGAGCCTTATTGGCTGCTGCATCCCTCCTCTCATCATAGCGCAGAATTCCTCGTAGTTAATCCTCCCATCCTGTAAATTGCCACAAGAGCGCCATCAAGAAAATGGAAGGAACAAACAGGTTGTAGTCAGAAAATACTGCCAATACGCAGACTTACATTATCTGTGTCGACTTCTGATATGATGTCCTTTATGGTATCCGCGTCGCCCATTTCATGCTCAATCAAAGCAGTCTCCAGTTCATCTCTTGTAATGAAGCTGCATTAAAGCAAGGTAATCCTTTGTCAAATCAAGCCATGTGGTTCATCTCTTTTGTGCAGGTGCATTATACAACTATCGTTTGGTCCACACTAACATTAATGAAGTGTGAACCTGTGAATATCATGTCTCACTGGTAAGGTTTGATGAAAAAAACAACACTATCAGTTGTAGGAATTGACAGTTCAGATTAGAATACTCACCCACTGTTGTCTTTGTCAAAGTACTGGAACGCCTTGAACAAATGCTCGTCTCTTTCGAGCTTGTGTCTATGCATGGTTGCTGTTATGAACTCAACGTAGTCAATTGATCCATTGCCATCCACATCAGCCTGGAATGGATCAAGAGGTAGGTATACAATGTCAAAAATATCATGGTTGGAAAAAAATACTGTAATACTACTCTGTCCCATAATGTAAGACGTTTTTGAACTGCAAAAACGTCATATATTATGGGACGGAGGGAGTAGTTCAGAAGAGTTGTGTACCGCATCCATCAACTGCTTTACTTCAGCTTCTGAGAGCTTCGATCCAAGTTTGGCTAGTCCTGCTTTGAGTTCCTCATATGTGATTGTCCCACTGTTGTCTGTGTCCATGTTCATAAACATTTGCTTCAGGCCCTTGATCTCTTCCTCGTTAAGATTTGAAGCTATAACCTGCATACACACTTGCTTATAAGCACCAAAGAAAAAGGCATTCAGTTATGAGCATGAAGATAATAATAACCTTTAGAGCCATCTTTTTCAGTTTATTCATTGCTCTGAATTGCTTCATCCTAGAAAGAACAGCACTGTCAATAGGTTTATCTGATGCTTCTCCTTCCCTGAGCCATGGATGTTCTGATCCAGCATACACAAAAAATATCAGATTTTGGCGAAAAGAACTAAGATTTGAAGGTTAATAATGTACTGTCAAGAAGCTTACGAAGAACTTGGGCTGAACTAATTCTTTTCTTTGGATCCTGCGCCAACATCTTCCTCACAAGGTCTTTAGCGCTCTCAGAAATTGATGGCCATGGCTGACTTTCAAAGTCAATCTCCCCTTGAAGAATAGCATCAAATATTCCCTTCTCAGTTTCTGCAAAGTAAAACAGAAGATGAATAACAACATGCTGCTGCAATAATTGTATACCTGAATTCAGAAGGTGGAAGTACATCAGGACTTTAGAGGCAAACTTACCAGCCCAGAATGGAGGAACACCGCTGAGAAGAATGTACAGAATAACACCTGCACTCCAAACATCTATCTCTTTACCATAGTTTCTCCTAAGGACTTCAGGAGCAACATAATAAGCACTTCCAACGATGTCCCTATACATTTTTCCTGATATATTTGGAAGACGCTTAGTAGTTAGTACACATGAACAAAAGTCCATTTTGTATACAATAACTAGAGTTCAAACAGCACAAATGAATAGCCATTCAGTCTTAATCTTTGCAACACAAAGACTTTCTGCATAATTCCATGAGCTACAATTCTACAGGACGGTGGTTGCCTCCATTGAAGCATGACTACCTCAATATCAAAGTCGCAATGCCTCTAGAAAACTCCCTTTACATGATTAGTTCTATCATGTGCTGATAGTTTTTTTTTTCAAAACGGGGGCAAAAGATTTGCCTCATCAATTAATTAAGAAGAAGAGAGTTGCCCAGATAATTAATGGAGAACCGGACGAAAACCAAGACAAATAGACCACATGCGGACTTCTCCCAAATTCTGGGACCCCATGACCACACCGCCAACCCCATAGGCATTCCCAACATGCAACTGTCCCAAGCCCTCACACATCTACATCACGAAGGAATCCCAATGAGAACACCTTGGATGTAGACAATCGACTCCACCAAAACCACGGTGATAGGCTAAACCATGAGGACAACCCAAAAGACCGAGGAGCAACCATTAAGCAGCTGCCGACGCCTTCCCTATGCGCTCATAGTAACTAACATGGAATCAGATGTTAATTTTCAATGCTAACCCAAACTTAGCATGGTTAAAAAATAGATGGTTCACTGTGAACCCAAGATTGGACCATCGGTATAGAAAACTTTCCTTCTCTACTTTATTTACTGAAAGCATATTGACATGGTATGTTTATGTCAACACAAAAAAAACTGCCCATAGCATCACCAAAATGGCTTGACTGCTCGATTTCTCCACGACTCGGAATGAACAGCATTGAAACTCGTCAAATCCAAAACTAGACCATCTAGGGAACTCCAACCCTATTAGGTAGTCCAACAGCAATACAATAGTTACGAGCAGCCTATGCCCTATGGACTTGATAGATAGATATATCCAGTTGCTATGAGAGGTGTCCAACAACAAAATGCAGTTGGCAAGCATATGCAGCTTATATATCATTTGTGTTACCTTCTTCAATGAAGACCGAAAGCCCGAAATCAGTGGCCTTGAGCACTGCATTCTCATCCTTGGTCGCGAGCAAGAAGTTTTCCGGCTTCAGATCGCGGTGCATCACTCCCATGAAATGGCAAACATTCACAACATTCACAACTCCTCTGCAGATTGTAGCAGCTGCGCGCTCTGAGTAGTGCCCCTTGGCAATAATCCGATCAAACAGCTCCCCGCCTGCACAGAGCTCCATTACAACATGCACGCTGCCCTTGTCCTCGTATGCTCCACAGAACTCCACTATGTTTGGCTGCCCAGATAGGTGCTGCATGATCTGGATCTCCCTGCGGATATCCTCCTTATCGGCCTTACTCACGAGCTTGCGCTTGGATATGGACTTGCAAGCATACTGCCTGCCAGTGCTAATCTCAGTGCAAAGGTACGTCACCCCGAACTGCCCCCTACCAAGTTCCTTGCCAAGCGAGTAGACAGAGCGCACATCGTCGTACTGCTTGCCGAGAATCGTGTCCGGCATGGGCTTTGAGGGGGCAACCACAGGTGGGACTACAGGAGGGTTCATCGCTGGCGGTGTGTACCTCACCTCAGCTTGTGGTGGTGGCTGAGCATTGTTGTAACTAGGAGGTGTTTGTGCTTGTTTGGGCTGGTGAGAATAGCCATAGCCATTGGCTCCTCCTTGGACAGAATCCGGGGACGTAGCTCTGCTGCAACACTGGCCCATCTGTGCTCAAATTCTTCCTTCCAGTTCCAAATTTACAACCCAGTCAGCCGAGCAGACGAAACCAATCGAAACCTGAATCTGTAAGCAACCCAAGAAAAGCCCTCTCAAAAAAAAATCAAGGAAAACAATTATTATACTGGAATACTGGATCATACACGAACTCATCCACGTCTCATCGTTGAATCCACAAAGTAATAATTCATTCAAGAGACTGGAACAAAAAGAAAAGAGAGCCGAAACTGGATCTAGAAGCAGAACTCAAACAAGAACAGCAGAAGGGGAAAATAAGAGAAGAAGAAGCAGTTGCCTTTGACACAGGTTGACCTCTTTCTACTCCCAATCCGGTGCAAGGAATGCAAGAATTGCAGGACAAGATAGATGGCCGGTCGCTTTGGTGACACCGGAAGCAACAATCAGAGGAGATAAGGATACACGCAAATTGGGTAAGACAAAAGAAAGGGCCGACAGAAAGCAACGTCGCCAACGCGGCACCCAGGGAAAAAGAAGAAAACTACAGCACACAGGATCGTTTCCACCAATCTGTAAAACACCAGCACCAGAAATCTACTGAATCCAAGAACATATGCACGACACGAAAGTTGAAAAGATTGATAAATACAAGTGCAGAAGTAGAGAGCTCCTGGGAATGAGCTACCATAGCTTGCATCAAGCTGTTGCGCCACTGTCAGATCCAAAGATGGGACAAGCTTTCCAGTCAGATCAAATTCTCGATCTCCTACCTAAAACGAACCCAAAACACGGAATGATACCTATACCTAATCTTCCATAAGATGGAAGAGCGACCCGATCCACGAACAGAGACGTCAGCAAGCACATCGAACCTAGAACATGGCGGAGACGCGTACCGACAAAGATCCTAAGCTCTGAACCAAGTCCCGAGCTCTCCTCCGTCCCTGCGCACCGAAGCTGCAGGCGTCTAAAGAACAAATCTTGGAGTGGTTGAAGACAGAGCAGGAACAGCTCGGCACGGCGACCGCGAGAGTGGATTGGAAGTGGTGGCACCGCGATTAGCGTCGCCCCCAATCGTGAGAGCGACTAATACACACGGGCAAGAATTGAAATCTCGGGAAGAAAAATAAAGAAAAGTTGGTACGGAGAAAAGGAAAAGGAGAAGAAATGGGGCAGTGCCGTATAGTGCCGTTTGCTTTTGGACTTTAATAATGGATCCACATATAACACGGTTTTGTTTTGTTTTTTTGAAAAAAATAACACGCTTTTGTTAACACGGTTTGTTGGCTTCTCATCAAAACAGAAAAATAGATTAAAACGGTTATTACTTCTGCCAACTCCTCCAACGCGGTGCATCAATCGAACGCATCAAAGTCCGTGGATAACATGTCCACATACAGCGGATAGAAACGCGACGCTGTACTTTTTCAAAAAGAAAAAAAAAACTAAACCAAATTTTGCCATGCAGCCTTGCTTTGGATTATCGATCAATATAATTCAACCATACATTTAAATCCTAATGAAAGCACTAGATGTTTAACAAGTTTTTTTAACAGTCAATTACATTGGTGATGCCAGAATTTGGCACAAACGGCCACTTTGGTGCTACAAATTACGGTATACATCGAAGTGGTGGAAAATTTTGGCTCTTGTGTGGACATACAATGCTTTTCTCATTTGGATACGAATTTGACTCTGACTAGGCTAGGCAGCGTGGCACGGATCCCACTGTCAGCGACCAGACGACGAAGGAGGGGGCATGTGGCATGATATGTTTCGAAAGAACCCTTGGATTTATTTTCTCACAAAAATCCCCTACCGTGGCTCATAACCACTTGATCTCAAAATCAGGGCCTCCAAATCCCTAACACTTGTTTCCCAATTCGAGAGCAGGGTGGCGGCGGTCTCGTGCATTGAGTATGGCGGCTTAGGTGTAGAACAACGATGATCCATTGACACGAGGTTAGCTCACACGATCACTCTTTCTCTCTATCTATCTCTCCCCCCTCTCGTACAGCCACTTGGACCCTTCTCTCATCTCTCTCTCACCCATCTCTCACCGTTGTGTTTGTAGATGGGTGGCACCGGCATACCGAGGATGGTCGATGGCGAGGCGAAGATGGAGGAGGACGGTGAGTTGTGGTGAAGATTACGTCGGTCGTGTATCAGGGCAAGAACCATGTAAATCCATCTCACCTCTAAAATGTGAAGTGCATTGGATGTTAGGGTTAATGGGATTTTAACCCGGGATGATGAGCTACCGGATGTGGCCGGTTGCATGCCGCGACTGATGGGTAACATTGCACGGAAAACAGAAAAATCATACGAAACACCATAGATCTAATTTGTGTAGATGCTAGCAACAAGAGGGAAGTGTGTCTACATACCCTTGTAGACCGGAAGCGTTAACGATCTAGAGATCATGGTTGGCGTAGTCTTACTCCTTCGCTATCCAATCCGACCCGGGTACCGAACGAACGGTACCTCCGAGATTAACACATGTGTAGCTCGATGACGTCCCCGCCTTCTTGATCCAGCAAGGGAGGGTGAATAGGTAGATGGAATTGGAACCAACACGTTGGGGTGGTGGCGGTGGCGGCAACGGAACTCTGGTAGGGTTTCGCCAAGCGCAATCGAACAAGGAGATGGAGGGAGATGGTTGAGACGATGGCCAAGGGTGGAAGGGTGGCTGCCCCCATGCGCCTCTCTCTCTTTATAGGGGGCAGGGGAGGGCGTCCAAACCCTCCTAGGGCCGGCCACAAGGGAGAAATCCCGTTAAAGTTGGAGATAACATCTTATCTCTAGATCCAACCCTTTATATTTAGAGATAAGACCTTATCTCTAGATTTAAACAAAATGGGCCTTGGGGCTGGTGCGGCTAGCCCATGTGGACTGTAGCCCCACCCCTTGGTCTATGTCGGCCCTTCCCTGGTCGTTGGGCCCCACGGCGGAACCCCCAGAACCTTCTGGAACCTTCCCGATACTCTACCAAAAATTCTCGAACTTCTCCGGAACCCTGAATAAGACTTTCCATATATAAATCTTTACCTACAGACCATTTCGGAGCTCCTCATGATGTCGTCGATCCCATCCAGGACTCCAAACTTCTTTTGGAATTCACCATAATATCCCAATACTACCTAGCATTACCCAACGTTAAGTGTGTGGCCCTACGGGTTTAAGAACATCTAGACATGATCGAGACTCCTCCCCTATCAATAATCTATAGTGAAACCTGGATGCACATATTTATTCCCACGTATTAAACAAAGATCTTTATCGGTTGAACCACGATGTCGAGGATTCGGCTAATCCTATATAGAATTCCCTTTGTCCGAGATTCGATTGCCAGTATCTCTGTACCTAGTTCAATCTCATTATCGGCAAGTCCCTTTACTCGTCCCATAATAAAAGACCCTCGTGACTAAACTCATTAGTCACATACTTGCAAGCTTCTTGTGATATTGTATTACCGAGAGGGCCCGGAGATATATATGTATCTGTCACATGGAGAGACAAATCCTAGTCTCGATCCATGCAACCCAACAAACACTTTCTGAAATATTTGTAAAGCACCTTTATGATCACCTAGTTATGAAGTGATGTTTGATAACCCACAAAGTACTCTTCTGGTATTCGGGAGTGGCATGATCTCATGGTCTAAGGAACAAATACCTGACATGAAGAAAGTTGTAGCAAATAAACTAGGTGACACGATCTAATGCTAAACTTACGGTTGGGCATGTCCATCACATCATTCTCCTAATGATGTGATCCCGTTATCAAATGACAACTCATGTCTATGGTTAGGAAACCTTAACAATATTTGATCAACAAGATAGTCTAGTGGAGGCACACTAGCGACGTGGTGTTGTTTATGCATCCACACATGTATCCGACTTTCCGGTCAATACAATTCTAGCATGGATAATAAACATTTATCATGAATGGGAAAATATGATAATAACATCTTTATTATTACCTCTAGGGCATATTTCCAACAGTCTCTCACTTGCACTAGAGTTAATAATCCAGTTTACATCATAATGAATCTAACACCCATAAAGTTCTGGTACTGATCACGTTTTGCGCGTGGAAGAGGTTTAGTCAATGGGCCTGCAACATTCAAATCCGTATGTACTTTGCAATCATGGATGGAGTTGAAGCGGTGTTTGATGTGCTTTGTTTTCTTGTGAAACCTTGGTTCCCTGGCAATGGCAATGGCACGAGTGTTGTAACAAAAGATAGTCATTGGATCCGATGCACTAGGTACCATTCCTAGATCAGATATAAATTCCTTCATCCAGACTTCTTCCTGCGCCGCTTCCGAAGCAGTTATGCATTCCGCTTCACATGTAGATGCTGCTACCACACTCTGCTTGGAGCTACTCCAACTGACTGCTCCATGCCACTTCTTGAGCTTGCGTTGGTTTTTCCCTTGAAGACGAAAGGGTGATGCAGCAAAGTAGAGTTAGTATTCCCCTTAGTTTGAGAACCAAGGTATCAATCCAGTAGGAGACAATGAACAAGTCACTGAATACCTGCACAAACAATCAAACAACTTGCACCCAACGCAATAAAGGGGTTGTCAATCCCTTCACGGTTACTTGCAAAAGTGAGATATAATAAAGATAGATAAACGGTAAAGTAAATATTTTTGGTATTTTTGGTTTATAGATCGGAAATTAAAAGATTGCAAAGGAAGTAAATCAGAAACTAAAATTATAGATCGAAAACTTATATGATGGAAAATAGACCCGGGGGCCATAGGTTTCACTAGAGGCTTCTCTCAAGATAGAAAATATTATGGTGGGTGAACAAATTACTGCCGAGCAATTGATATAAAAGCACAAAGTTATGACGATATCTAAGGCAATGATCATGAATATAGGCATCACGTCCGTGTCAAGTAGACCGACTCCTGCCTGTATCTACTACTATTACTCCACACATCGACCGCTATCCAGCTTGCATCTAGAGTATTAAGTTCATAGAGAATGGAGTAAGGCTTTAAGCAAGATGACATGATG